TGGGCACAGAGGAGGGATAAGCAATTAATATTCTCTCTTAACCTGGCCTCCTGCCAAAGCGGGGGTGCTATATTACATTCTACCTTCAAGAAAAAGAATACATTTTTCAACCATTATACTTACAAAATTCGTTAATTCCCCCTTCAGTAGTAGTTCAAACTGTTTGCAGATTATCTTAAGACTGTAACTTTTCTTTTTAATCACTTACTGAATAGGTAATATACAAAAAAGCCATTCCTAATCTATGGTTTAAAGAAAAAAGAAAGCCAGGCCCAGTGGCTCACGCCTGTAATCCTAACACTTTGGGAGGCTGAGGTGGGAGGATCACTTGAGCTCCAGGGTTCAGAACTAGCTTGAGCAACACATTGAGACCTCATCTCTACAGAAAATGTTTTTAAAAAGTTAGGGGTGGTGGTATGTGCCTATAGTCCCAGCTACTCAGGAGGCTAAGGTGGGAGGATCTTTTAAGCCCAGCAGGTCTAGGCTGCAGTGAGCCATTATCATGCCTCTGTACTCCAGCCTGGGCAACACAGCAAGACCCTGTCTCAAAAAAAACCCAAAAACTAAAAACTTAAGGGCTAGGTGCAGCGGCTCAGGCCTGTAATCCCAGCACTTTGGGAGGCCAAGGAGGGTGGATCACTTGAGGTCAGGAGTTTGAGACCAGCCTGGCCAACATGGTGAAATCCCGTCTCTACTAAAAATACAAAAATTAGCCAGGCGTGGTGGCAGGCGCCTATAAATCCAGCTACTCAGGAAGCTGAGGCAGGAGAATCACTTGAACCTGGGAGGCGAAGGTTTCACTAAGCTGAGATTGTGCCACTGCACTCCAGCCTGGGCGACAGAGGGAGACTCCATCTCAAATAATAATAATAATAATAATAAATTAAAATGTTAAAAAAATTAAGAAAAAGGAATAAAGAAATTGATAACAGGTCAGGCACAGTGGCTCGAGTTTGTAATCCCAGCACTTTGGAAGGCTGAGGCAGGCAGATCACCTGAGGCCAGCAGTTCAAGACCAGCCTGGCCAACGTGACAAAACCCTGTCTCTACTAAAAATACAAAAATTAGCCAGGCGTGGTGGTGTACATCTGTAATCCCAGCTATTTGAGAGGCTAAGGCAGGAGAATTGCTTGAACCCGGGAGGCAGAGGTTGCAGTAAGCCAAGATCACCCCACTGCACTCCAGCCTGGGCAACAGAGTGAGACAGTGTCTCAAAAAAAAAAAAAAAAAAAAGGAAGAAGAAAGAAAAGAGAAGAGAAGAGAAGAGAAGAGAAGAGAAAGAAAGAAAGAAAGAAAGAAAGAAAGAAAGAAAGAAAGAAAGAGAAAGAAAGAAAGAGAAACTGATAACAGATCAAGGACATACAGTGAAAAGCAGATCTCACTTCCACTCGTATGTCTCAAATAAGCTAATTCCCTATCTTAGAATAAATCATTTTTAGTTTTCATTCCCAAAGAAAAACATATGTGTACATGTATGTGTGCATATGTGATTTTCACACATTAAAGAATGTTCTAAATACCCTTTGGGACTCAACTTTTATACTGTTTCATTCTTATTTTTCCCACCCAAAAAACTACCTGTAAGTATTATACTGTATTTCTTGAAGACTTTGTCATATTTTTACTTGCAGAGCTCCTTCATTTAACCGACTCACAATACTCCACAACATGGAGGTTAAGATGGTCCCTGACTTAACAGTGGTTCAACGTATGATTTCTCGACTTTACAATGATGTAAAAATGATACACATTCTGTACAAATTGTACTTCGAGTACCCATACATCCATTCTATTTTTCACTTTCAGTAAAATATTCAATAAATTACACGTGATATTCACCATTTTATCATAAAATAGACTTCGTGTTAGTTGATTCTGCCCAACTATAGTCTAATGTAAGTGTTCTGAGCACATTTAAGGTAAGCAAGGCTAAGCTATGAAGTTTGGTAGGCTAAGAATATTAAATGCATTTTAGAGTTACAGTATTTTCAACTTATGATGGATTTATAGGGACATAACTCCATGTAAGTCAAGGAGCATCTGTACTATAATTTATTAACCATCCACTATTTGTGGACATTGCTATTTTTTATAATTATAATAAATAAGACGTCAATAAATAACAAGTCATTCTGCACTCATGTAACTATATTATGGGACAAATATCTTGAAATAAAACTGGGAAATCTAAATTATATTTATTTTACATTTTGATAGATACTGCCAAATTGTCTTCCAAAAACATTCAATTTACTCTCCCACACAAAAAAGGATGTGACTGCCAGTTTTCCATTTCCGATACAGAGTATCAAAGTTTTTAATCTCTAACAATCTGAGAGTTGAAAACTGGTACCTCATTATAGTGCTAATTTGCAATTTACTAAGTATAAGTGACGATGAGGCTGGGCATGGTGGCTCATGCCTGTAATCCAGCATTTTAGAAGGCCAAAGCAAGAGGATCACTAGAGCCCAGGAGTTCAAGACCAACCTGGGGTGAGGTCCTGTCTCTACAAAAAAAATTTTTAATGGCCAGGCACAGTGGCTCACGCCTGTAATCCCAGCACTTTGGGAGGCCAAGGCGGATGGATAACTTGAGGTCAGGAGTTTGAGATAAGCCTGGCCAACATGGCGAAACCCCACCTCTACTAAAAATACAAAAATTAGCCAGGCATGGTAGCACATGCCTATAATCCCAGCTACGAGGGAGGCTGAGTGAGGCACGAGAATTGCTTGAACCCAGGGGGCGGAGGTTGCAGTGAGCTGAGATCACACCACTGCACTCCAGCCTGGGCCACAGAGCAAGACTCCATCTCAAAAAAAAAAAAAAATGTTAATACATGAAGATGGCATCTTTTCATTTGTTTAAATGTCACTGTCATTTGTATTTCTGTTCAATGAACTATCTGAGCTTCTTTTTTTTCTTTTTTTGAAACATAGTTTCACTCTTGCTGCCCAGGCTGGAGGGCAATGGCACAACTTCAGCTCAACACAACCTCCGCCTCCCGGGTTCAAGTGATTCTCCTGCCTCAGCCTCCCAAGTAGCTGGGATTACAAGCATGTGCCACCACGCCCAGCTAATTTTGTATTTTTAGTACAGACAGGGTTTCTCCATGTTGGTGAGGCTGATCTCGAACTCCCGACCTCAGGTGATCCGCCCACCTCGGCCTCCCAAAGTGCTGGGATTACAGATGTGAGCCACCATACCGGGCCACGATGAACTATCAATCCTGTCCTTTACACATTTTATTTTGGGCTTACTGGTCTTTTACTTATTAACAGGATACACACAAACACAAATATATGCATACATGTCTACATATTGAAATTTTCCCTTGCTGTCAAATGTATTACAGTATTTCCCTCAATCATTAATTATTATTATTGAGATGAAGGTCTCTCTCTGTCAACCAGGCTGGAGTGCAGTAGCACAATCATGGCTCACTGCAGCCTCAAATTCCTGGACTCAGATAATCCTTCTGCCTTGGCCTCCCTTGTAGCTAGGAGTACAGGAACATGACACCACACCCAGCTAATTTAAAAAATTTTTTTGTAGAGACAAAATCTTGCTTTGTTGCCCAGGCTGGTCTCAAACTCCTGGCTTCAAGCGATATTCCTGCCTCGGCCTCCCAAAGTGTTGAGATTACATACGTGTGAGCCACCACACACAGCCAATTTTTCCTCTTTAATTTTTGCTTATAACATTTTTTTCTTTGCAAAAATCCTAGATATGTAAGTTTCAAAATGTATCACTTTTTTTTAATGGCTTCTGTGTTTTCTACCATGTTTCAAAAAGACATTTCTATTCAATGTTTATAAATGTCTGCTTTTTTCTTCTAGTATAATTATCAGTTCACTATAAATACAAATAGAATTTATTTCAGTATTAAGTTTAAATAAGAGCTTCTCCAACCCCAAATACTTTCAGAGAATCAGAAAAGTTACTGTTCTGGCCAGGCGCAGTGGCTCACGCCTATAGTCCCAGCACTTTGGGAGGCAAAGGCGAGTGGATCACCGGAGGTCAGGAGTTCAAAACCAGCCAGGCCAACATGGTGAAACCCCATCTCTCCTAAAAATACAAAAAATTAGCTGAGTGTGGTGGCAGGCACCTGTAATACTAGCTACTTGGGAGCCTGAGGCAGGAGAATTACTTGAATCCAGGAGGCAGAGGTTGCAGCAAGCCAAGATCACGCCACTGCACACGAGCCTGGGCGACTGTGTGAGACTCCAGCTCAAAAAAAAAAAAAAAAAAAGAAAAAGAAAAAGAAAAGAACAGCTATTGTTCTTTCCTACAAAATAAAACAAGAGCACTCATTCAAATACTGACATTTAAACCCCCCAAAAGGTTGGGCACAGTGGCTCATGCCTGTAATCCTAGCACTTTGGGAGGTTGAGGTGGGAGGACTGCTTGAGCCCAGGAGTCAAGGCTGCAGTGAGCTGTGATGATCATACCACTGCATTCCAGCCTGGGAAACAAAGTAAGAACTGGTCTCAATAAAATAAAATAAAATAAAATAAAACCCAAGAAAATTCCCAACAAATTAAAACTGCTAGATCACTCAAACTAAGTCCTTCTCAAAGAGCTATGCAGCTTAATGGCTCTTATACTTAAACATTCCCTAATGAATTTTCCACAAAAAATGTGAAATATTCAACTTGAGATTTCTATAAAATGTCCATTATACTATTTAAAATATTATCTCCTTTAATTAACTCTCTACTAACCAACCTTTTATGTTCAATTTTTACATGTCAGATACTGACAACCACCAAAAACTTTAATATGCCAGTTTCTACCTTAAAAAGCTCCTTCTGCAGACCCTCTATTAAGAATAAGACATTCAAAAAAAGAAAATGATGTTCATTACCAATTCACACAACTCATAGATGATAAATTGATATAATTAAAAATTTAAAACTTTCTTTAAACCTTTTTTACTAAAGTAAATGATTATAGATAAAAATATGATCCATTTGTAACTAAGTGAACAAACTTAACTTACCATGTGTGGAGCACTGATTGTTGCTTGGAAACCTGCAAAACAAGAAGAGAACTACTGATACAGTGAGCTGCAAAAATACACTATTTCACATAATTTCTTTTCTACCATCCATATGTTATTTTTCACAATAATTCTTTTTTAGCTTTTATGATCTCAAGAAAATAAAACTTACATCTATTAGAGTACTGCCACCCAGCAGTTAAAACTAGAAAATATAATCATGCCGAAGGGTAATGTGCTCATGTAGTAAAACAGTCCCTCTAAAGTACGGCAGCTAAAAATTTCTTCTCCTGTAGAGTCAGCTAAGAAAGGAAGAATTTCAGTAAGTTGAGAGTTGATATATTTTTGGCTTGTTTTTCCTTCAGATTGTTTTTTAAAAATAAGCTTTCATGTGTAATAGCTATACAAAGTCTGTGCAAAATGAAATTGCTTCATATTTCTGTCAACTTAAAACTAGAATAACTGAAAAAGTAGCTTAAAAGACCAATAAACTACTTCATTTTATTCTTTATCTTATCATCTAATGTTAATTCACACAATCTTTTCATGGTTCTTAACTTTTAGTTTCTTTTCCTCTGGTGTTGCTTTCTCAAAACTTATTTACCTGCTTCTTTCTGCCTCTGAGGCAAGTTTCACTGAGCGGTGGTAGCAGGTGCCTTCGGGGTTCAGAAGCTCCCCAGGATCTTCTCTGCTGACTGTTATAGTGCTTCAAAAGAAGATAGCATGGCATCCGACTGACACAATCCTGAGGCACTTCTAAGCCTCAAAGGCGCCCACTGCCAAGGCTCAGCAGTTCAGCAAAACCTGCTTCAGGAGAAGCAGTTAAATACAGGACTTTCTAAAAACAAACACAAGCCAAAAAAGCAGGGCAAATAAAGCAGATAAGTCAGTAATAACTTAAGCACACTTACTGATTTAAATATTGATTTAAAAAAATTAATCCGAACCTGAAAACTAATCTCTAGTCAACACTAAGGCCCCTCAAGAAAACTCAGAACTCAGCTAATACTTTAAGTTTTCATTTAAAGTTTTTTTTTTTTTTTTTTTTTTTTTTTTTTTTTACAGCAGGGTGTGGTGGCTCATGCCTGTAATCCTAGAGCTTTGGGAGGCCAAGGTGGGTGGATTGCCCGAGTTCAGGAGTTCCGAGACCAGCCTGGGCAACATGCTGAAACCTCATCTCTACTAAAATACAAAAAATTAGCCGGGTGTGATGGCACGCGCCTGTAATCCCAGCTACTCAGGAGGTTGAGGCAGGAGAATTGCTTGAACCCAGGAGGCGGAGGCTGCAGTGAGCTGAGATTGCGCCACTGCACTCCAGCCTGGGTGACAGAGTGAGACTCCATCTCCAAAAAAAAAGGTTTTTTTCACTAAAATATTTTATTTCAAAAAATGTTTTTAATTCTTTATACTATGTATACATTGTTTGAGAAAACAGAAAACAGAAAACCATACATAATTTTATTAAAATAGGCATGTTTGGGATTATGAAACTTGCTGAGTCATAAAATTCAAATTAAGAAGGTAATAATAGATAAATATCTGTGTCCCAGGCTTTTTCTACTTACCAAAATCATAAAGTAAATGATGAAAAATGTGATGTTTTCAGAAATCTAAAGCTTACCTATTGATTGTGGAGAATCCATGTAAGGGTTACATTTTGCATAGTGAGAGCGGTCTGTAGCTAGCATCACTTCAAATACTTTATCTGTCTTGATGATTCCGTTTTCTGAAACAAATGAGGCAAATATTTTCAGAAGAGAGAGACATGATCAGACGTATTTTAGAATGATTACACCAGTTATGCTGTAGAGACTGAACTGGAAGAGAGAATGATTGGTTGTTGCAATGGACTAGGTAACAGCAACCTGGTTTCTCTTTTTTTTTTTTTGAGACAGAATCTGGCTCTGTCCCCCAGGCTGGAGTGCAGTGGCTCCATCTTGGCTCACTGCAGGCTCCACCTCCTGGGTTCCTGCCATTCTCCTGACTCAGTCTCCCCAGTATCTGGGACTACAGGCACCCACCACCACGCCGAGCTAATTTTTTGCATTTTCAGTAGGGATGGGGTTTCACTGTGTTAGCCAGGCTGGCCTTCATCTCCTGACCTCATGATCCACCCACCTCAGCCTCCCAAAGCTGTACTACAGGCATGAGCCACAGCGCCCGGCCCAACCTAGTCTTTAGCAACAGCAAGGACACAGAAAAGTAGAAAGATAATGAGTTATATTTGGTAGGTAATATGTACCTGACTGACTGGATTTGGGGGTGGGAGTGGGGGTAATCGTTGAGATGCTGATGCCATTTACCGATTTAAGAAATCCTGTAGAAGGATCAAAGTTAAGGGGTAAAAAGGTAAGTTATCCATTCAGTTAGGGGCTTCAGATCATACAACTGGAGATACTCTGTAGTCAGCTGGACACATGGATCTGGAGCTCAGGAAAGAGATCTAGAAGAGATATTAAGATTTCTATTTATTATGGATGGCAACTGAAACAACCAAAGTGAATTCAAAGTGGCCAGAGAATAGAGAAGACAAACAAAGCCAACATCTAAAAGATACGCAAAGGAAACAGAGTCATCAAAGATGAGGAGCAGTCACAGAGGCAGGATGAAGATAAGATCATACTGTTGTAGAGCTAGGAGAAGTGAATTTCTTAAGAAGGAAAGCAAGATCAATAAAATATACTTGCCTTCCCCAACAATTAGTTATTTGAGTTTAAGGCCGGATGCAGCGGCCCATGCCTGTAATCTCAAAGCTTGGGGAGGCCAGTGAGGGAGGATAGCTTGAGCCCAAGGGCTTGAGACGAGGCAAGGCAACACAGTAAAGCCTTGTCTCTACAAAAAAAAAAAAAAAATTTAATCAGCTGGGCATCATGGCACAAGTGTGTTGTCATAAATACTCAGGAGGCTGAGGTGGGAGAATTAATGGAACCCAGGAGTTTGAGGTTATAGTGAGGTATGATCATACCACTGCACTCCAGCCTGGGTGAGAAAGCATGACCCTGTCTCAAGGCTGGGCACGGTAGCTCACAACTGTAATTCCAGCACTTTGGGAGGCCCAGGCGGGCAAATCACTTAAGATTAGGAGTTTGAGACCAGCCTGTCCAATATGGTGAAACCCCATCTCTAATAAAAATACAAAAATTAGCCAGGTGTGGTGATGCACACCTGTAATCCCAGCTACTTAGGAGGCTGAGACAGGAGAATTGCTTGAACCCGGAGGCAGAGGTTGCAGTGAGCCAAGATCGTGCCACTGAATTCCAGCCTGAGCGATAAGAGTAAGACTCTGTGTCAAAAAAAAAAAAAAAAAAAAGAATCATGCACAAATATGTGCTAACGCCCGTTTTCCTCTCCACTACCAGTATCATCATCCATTAAAGAAGGTGTAGGGCGCTATACTAACAGGAGGGGGTACACATGAACTCTGTCCACAAAATGCCTAAAAGTAGGAAAAAGAAAAAAAAAATTCAAACCAATGCCATTCAAAACTAATATAAAAAGAAAACTAAATGCAAATAAATACATTTCTGCTGATTAAACAAAACCTGTATTTAAAACTATATTCTAAGAAAATGTGCCAGGAAGTAAACATATTACCAGGAAAAACTAACTTCAAAATACATTGTAATGAAACTATTAGATTTTAAAGCAAAGGAAAAAAATTCTCAGAACATCAAGGCAAAAATAATTAGCTGGGCCGGCACAGTGGCTAACGTCTGTAATCCTAGCACTTTGGGAGGCTGGGGCCGGCGGATCACTTGAGGTCAGGAGTTCAAGACCAGCACGGCCAACATGGTGAAACCCCATCTCTACTAAAAATACAAAAATTAGCTGGGCATGGTGGCACATGCCTGTAATCCCAGTTCCTAAGGAGGCCGAAGCACAAGAATTGCTTGAACCCAGGAGGAGAAGGCTGCAGTGAGCCGAAATCGCACCACTGCACTCAAGCATAAGCAACAGAGCAACGCTCTGTCTTTAAAAAAATTAAAAAAGAAAAAAAAAAATTATCTGAGCATGGTGGTGCATCTCTGTGATCCCAGCTACTCAGAGGCTAAGGTGGGAGGATCATTCGAGCCTGGGAGGCGGAGGTTGTAGTGAGTCAAGATCATGCCACTGCACTCCAGCCTGAGTGACAGGGTGAGACTCCATCTCAAAAAAAAAAAAAAAAAAAATCAAGAGAAATAGATCAAATTACCTATTATAATAAGAATTTTAAAAATTAGAGGCCAGGCACAGTGGCTCATGCCTGTAATCCGAGCACTTTGGGAGGTCAAGGCCAAAGGATTGCTTAAGCCTAGGAGCTCAAGACCAGCCTGGGCAACATAGGGAGACCCCATTTCTTTAAAAAAATTCGAAAATTAGCCAGTGTGGTGCCAAGTGCCTGTGGTTCCAGCTACCTGGAGGTTGAGGTGGCATGATCACTTGAGCTCAGTAAGTTGAGGCTACAGTGAGCCGTGATCATGTCACTGTACTCCAGCCTGGGCAACAGAGTAAGACCCTGTCTCAAAACACAGACAAACAGGTCGGGTGTGGTGGCTCATGCCTGTAATCCCAGCACTTTGGGAAGCCAAGGTGGGTGGATTACCTGACGTCAGGAGTTCAAGACCAGCCTGGCCAACATGGCAAAACCCTGTCTCTACTAAAAATACAAACATTAGCCGGGTGTGGTGGCATGCACCTGTAATCCCAGCTACTCAGAAGGCTGAGACAGGAGAATCGCTTGAACCTGGGAGGCGGAGGTCACAGTGAGCCAAGACTGTGTCACTGCACTCCAGTCTGGGTGACAGAGCGAGACTTCGTCTCAAAACAAACAAACGAACAAAAAATTAGGTCACCACAGGTTTCTTAAGAGCAACAAACAAGCCGGATGCAGTGTCTCAGGTCTGTAATCCCAGCAATTTAGAAGGCCAAGGTGGGTGGATCACTTGAGTCCAGGAGTTCGAGACCACCCTGGGCAACATGAACAGACCCCACCTCCACAAAAGAACTTAAAAAATTAGCCGGATGTAGTGACGCATACCCGTAGACCCAGCTACTCAGGGGACTGAGGTGGGAGGATTGCTTGAGCCTGGCAGGTCAAGGATGCAGTATGCCCTGATCATGCCCTGCACTCCAGGCTGGGTGACAAGAGTGAGACACTGTCTCAATAAATAAAAATAAAAATTAAGAGCAAGATTCAAAGCAAAGTAAGAATAAAGCAGCATTTTCAAGAAATTCAAGTCAACCATAAAAAGAAGTGAACGGCTAGGTGCGGTGACTCATGCTTATAATCCCAGCACTGTGGGAGGCCAAGGTAGGAGCATCACTTGAGCCCAAGAGTTGAAGACCAGCCTGAGCAACATAGTGGGAACCTGTCTCTACCACATTTTAATTTTAAAGCTCTGCAAAGGAGCGAATTACTAATATACCAAACATGAATAAATCTCTTTTTTTTCTTTTTTTCTTTTTTTTTTTGAGACTGAGTCTAGCTCTGTCACCCAGGCTGGAGTGCAGTGGCGTGATCTTGGCTCACGGCAACCTGCCTCCTGGGTTCAAGTGATTCTCCTGCCCCAGCGTCCCAAGTAGCTGGGATTACAAGCGCCTGCCACCACGCCCAGCTAAGTTTGGTATTTCTAGTAGAGACGGGGTTTCACTGTGTTGGCCAGGCTAGTCTTGAACTCCTGACCTCATGATCCACCTGGCTCAGCCTCCCAAAGTGCTGGGATTACAGGCGTGAGCCACCACACTTGGCTTGAATAAATCTCAAAAGCACTCATCTAAGTGAAAGAAGCCAGGTGAGGAGACTACATATGATTCAATTTTTAACACATTCAAGGAAAGCCAAAACCATAGTGGTAGAAGGCCCATCTGTAGTTGCTAGGGGATAGGAGAAGGGAAGAGATTAATTGCAAAGAGACACGAGAAAACTTTTTGGGTGAAAGAAGCATTCTATTCCTGAGATCAGCAAACAACTGTAAAGATCCAAATAGTAAATATTTTAGGATTTGCAAGCCATATAATCTCTGTTGCAACTACTAAACACTGCCACTGTGGTGCAAGAACAGCCAGAAACACTATATAAATCAAAGTGTGGCTGTGTTCCAATAAAAATTTATAAAACCAGGCAGCAGGCCAAATTTGGTCTGTGGCCTGTAGTTTGCTGACCCATGTTCTACATCATAATGAAGTTGGTGGTTACACATTCTGTTTGTCACATTTTTCAAATTGTATTCTTATAACTGGTGAATTTTTATATAATTTATGCCTCAATAAAGCTGATTTTTTTAAGTATAAGCCAAGGATTTTATACCCAGCCAAGCTGTCCTTCAAATATCAAGGCTATAGGAAGGAAAAAAACCATTTTGAATATGCAGGAACTCAGAGAATGCTGCACACACAAGCCCTTTCTGAGGAATCTTCTAGAGGATGTGTTTCACCTAACCAAGAGATAACCAGGGATATGTTGGCAAAGGACACATATGCAATTGTATAGCAAAGGCAAAAATAAGGATAGGAACATGCGTGAAATAATAGCACTTAAATGTTGTATGCTCTGACAAAGTAGAAAGAATACAACTAAAAACAATGGGAGGAGGAAAAAAGGGAAAGTCCAATTAGATCACTGATTGTTGTACAGGTAATAGAAGGAATCAAAGGATATCATTTCATACTGATAAACCAGATGGTAAAAAAAATTTTTTTGAACCCGGGAGGCAGAGCTTGCAGTGAGCCAAGATGGCGCCACAGTACTCCAACCTAGGCAACAGAGCGAGACTCTGTCTCAAAAAATAAAAAAAAAATAAATAAAAATTTTAAAAATGCTTTCAATGTTTTAGTCTAATGACCTTTTTGGGTAGCTTGCCTACGCTTCTTTGTGTAGAAATAATGTTTTCTATTTGGGTAATTTATCCAAAAGTTATATTTTAAAATGGAAAGACCATATGAGTTTGTCTTTTCTAGTTTATCGCTATTTACGTTGTTTTCTCTATTTGATGTGTCTTTTTTGCTGATTTAAAAAAATATTCATTGTTACTTGGAAAGTCTGTATTTATACCTTTTATAGTGTTGTTAATTGACCTTAAATTTTTTTTTTTTTTGCTGAGCATGATGGCTCACACCTGTAATACGAGCGCACTTCGGGAGGACGAGGCAGATGGATCACCTGAGGTCAGGAGTTTGAGACCAGCCTGACCAACATGGTGAAACTCTGTCTCTACTAAAAATACAATATTAGCCAGGCATGGCAGTGGGCGCCTGTAATCCCAGCTACTTAGGAGGCTGAGGCAGGAGAATCGCTTGAACCTGGGAGGTGGAGATTTCAGTGAGCCGAGATCACGCCAC